TTTGTTTTTCATAAGTGCTTCAAGTTCAAACTATAATACAATTCATCAAAATCACGAAAGTTTGCAAATTATTTTGAGGTTAAAAATGTATGAAAATGTAAAACATGGTTTCCCATAGGTAGTTCAAACTGTAAACGATAAATAAAATATTTAGAACCTCTCAGTTTGATATGCGTTTCGGTGCAATATAATATTATATCGTTATATCATACTTTAATAAGGGCAATGACGATCGTTGGTCTCTGTGTACACAGCTGATAGGCTAACCGCTACGCATCATCAGCTTTTCGGATCGTAAATCTGTGCGTGCTGTCGTTTTTTTTCCACGTGTATTTTCTCGTTTTTCCAATGACATTCGTTTTAATTTTTCGTCCACTGGTGTGACTGCCAAACCCAACGCGTTAGTAATATTCATCGGCACGTATTATACTGTGGGTGACATCATTGTGGTATTGTTCTCCATGTGGAGTACCAAATCACCAACTCCTCCGTCCGCTGTTATATAGTTGTATTATAGTCTGATGCGATCACGCAGAGGGTGTGTAAAAAAAAATGTTCGATATTGCTTTGCCGTTTTTGGTATCGTTAGCATTAAATTATTCCTCATCCTATCCCCGCCCCCCACCCCCATTCACACTCGTGCAAACCAAAAATATTATATATTAACTACCTTTCGTAAACGACGGCTTTTCAAATGCGGTGGCCTCTATTGGTAAAATTACTCATTACCTATACTTTGACTTTATAAGCGCTTCACTAACAGACTAACTCACCATCCTAACCCTCTTATCGTCCAACTATCACGCGCAACTGTTCTCAACAAAAAAAGGCTAAAAAGTCGTTTTATGCATGATTAGGTGGTTTGAACAACAGTGCGGTTGTGTTAACTATATAATTTTAATCGAACCTGACTGGCAGTATCGTAGTGTTATTGCGATTCGTTATGAACATTTTACTATAATTGTTGAGTACATTGCCGCGATTCATATTTTTAGTAGTCTCGTTCAAAGTCCCATCACTGTACTGACTTCAAACAAAATTTGGTGCAACATCGGTTTGATGAGCGTTTGGTAATTTAATTCAAAACTAAATAATAATCATCCGTCTAATAATTTACACGCTTCAGAGTTATATCCCGCTGAGGAGTGTCTGTTACCGTGAATACACGATTTCGATGAAATAGTAATTTTAATAAGTCGACATAAATTTGTTTAACGTATTGAATTTTCAACGTTTTGTCGCACTACAGCAGTGGTAGGTATAGGTACATACTACATAGCAACAACTTATCTTGTCGACCGTCACGTGCAGTGGCGCCGAACTATTTTTTTAAAGGGGGAGAGGGGGGCAAGTAAAAAGTTATACGGACCACTACCCCTGTTTACATATGTGCTGCATATGTATACATTATAATAGTTTAGGAGTTAGGAAAATAATTAATAAATAATTTGTTGGAGTACCCACGGAACCCCACGACCCCGCCCACCGAAAAGAGGGGGAAGTCACCCCTCTTGGATTATAGGTTCGGCGCCACCGGTCATATGTAATCATTAATTTAAATCGTTATCGTTATAAGTATTTCTGCGTACATATTATGCGTTGTACACTGCAAAATATAAGTCTCCACGACAACCATTTGCATAATAAATTATAGCGTTCAGCTCCGGTTGATTATTGTATAAAAATCACGTCAAACGCAGCATACGAGTCGTAGAGTGTGATGAATTATATAATATTATATACGTTCTTAAATAACGTCTATAGAATCCGAGTTGTTATAAACAAATCGTTTTGTTAACGCCGTAACACCTACATAGAGGCACGCATGACATATATTTGCAAGATTTCACTGTGATTTATTATTTTTAACAATTTCAAATTTTGGTTGTGGAGCTTAAAAATTGTCACCAGCTGCTGCAGTTGCTCAAGGTACCCGCACGTTGGCGTTAATTTTATTAACTTTGTATTTTTTGGGCACACATTATTTTCACTGTGAATAAGAGTGGAGCCAAACGCTTTATAACACAGTTAATGATCTCGTATGTTTCTGTAAGAATGACGTCGTCGGTATATGATAAAACATTTAAGAGTGTATATTCAAGTTCATAATAATATCTGTAGAACCCGCTTTTTTACACGAATTTGTTGGGTATATTGCTATAGTGGATAACATAATACATTATTATAATTTATAATGTGTTTTTTTTTTTTTGTATTTTTCGCATGGAATGAATAATTTTGTTTTCTGATATTTCATATTATAATATATACAGGTACCCACCACACTATTGTTAACACATGCAAGATAATATATCAATAATACATTTATAATACAACCCGAACCATTATCATTGTAATATATTTACACTGCCATTATATAGAAACGCATATAATAATAATAACAATATTAACAATAATGTATACAGGCATAATATCTCCTTTTCAAAATTGAATAACACATTTGGCAGATATACCGTGCTAATAAATCACCCAATATCCATTCTAAACTATTTATGCGTTAACTAGCTATACACATACCTGCAATAGGTAGATACCTACTTTATTTGAATCTTAGTGTCAGAGTACTATGACGCATCGAATTAGTATTACACTATCGACAAAAAATGTATTGTAACGATGAACAAAAACGAATACAATATGTTGTTTAATTTCCAGCATAAGACTATAATAAATATGACACAGACTACGGACACGTTATACATCATCACCTGGATATCACTACGACACTATTAAAGAATACGATATATGTACATAAAAAAATATTTATACTCCAGGTTATGGAATAAAACTTTGTATTTTAATTTACAGCACTGACCGCTACTACGATTGTATTTAGTTTCCCATAACATATTCGTATCGTCTGTGGTGTTCTTATTTCAATTTATGTTTTAATATAATATAAAATATTATTATTACGTATTACCTATATAATGTCTGAAAAGTTTTGTATTGGTCCCCCTCAAAACAAAAAAAAAATGAAATAATAAAAGAAGTGATCGAAAACTTTAAAAATAACACCGGTGTTATACGGATCCGAGTAAAAAACTAAAAAGGTTTAAAATAAAAATGTATTAAAAATATAATATTACACCATGACGAATAATAATTTTCGACCGTTGTTTTTATATAATAATAAAAATTAAAATATTAATTTCTAAATAACCGATGAAAACAACAAAATCGTTATTGAAATATTCGTAATCAACAAACAACATAAAGCTGTTTATAAATTCAGAATGCTAAGATTGAAGGTTGAGAACTCGTATCACTTCAGATATCTCGGTGCAGTAAAAAATATGTGTTTATTAATAGTATAGGTACATTTGAAATCAATAATAAATCATCGCATTGAAAACTCTATTCGGATATCGGTTAAGACCTCGTGTACCTTCAATATATTTCACCAGGAAGTTGTCGATAATTTTTCTTTACGTCTGGGAACTATTGAACACAATGGACATCTTCAAAGTCTTGATTAGACTTGATTTCCAATCAACAAATAAGACTACTTGAAACTTTTGCAGCACTTATATTTTTAGCTTAACAGTGATTGCAAAAAAAAAAAAATAGCTTCACCCAGAATTTAAATTTCAGATATTGTAGGGCGTTATAAAAATAAATAAAATATAAGGTACAGACTCGGTGAAAAGCGATAAAAAGAAAATTCAATTTTAGTGTATGAAATGTCTCAACGGCGCGTAAATCAATTTTTTGGGCTTATAGCTAAGGGCTAAGATATATCAGTTATAGAATTTGCATGTATTTTAATCCAATATTTAGATAACCAAGATACGAATTCGAATCATGCACTTGAGAGTTTAAATATGATTTCCCATTTGCATGTTTTTGATTATTTTTTTCCATCTTCCAGCGAAAGTGCATACATTTACGAATAGGTATTATGTGATTCCGAGCATATTTTACAGTTGAGAAAATCATATTTTGGATAATATTATTTTCGTTACAGGCCTATATGCAATTAAAATAAAAATCCCGAATAATACATTATGTTACGAAAAAAATAAATGTATATCATTATATTAATTAAATTACTTACTATACATTTCATGGTAAACAAACATTTATTTTTTTTTTTAATTTGGACTAATTAATTGTCCAACTTAAATGTTTATATCAAATACAATTTGATCATTATAAATAGCTTTAAAGTTCTTTTACGTTCATGTTTTAAATTTGAAGCGGGAAATATTCTGAGTAATGCCACTGATATTGACCGATGTTTAAAGTTTAGACAGCGTGACAGAGTACAATGGACAGAAAGCAGAGGTAAAAAATAATATGTTGTGTCATACAACGGCCGCGGCTAAACATAAATTACAAAAACTTTTACAGATAACGTCTGGGTCTTTCCCAACTGATTATTTTATGTATAATATACAATATATACATTACACATATAAATAAATTATATTTTTCTTTTGGTTTTTAATTAAAGAAAAAAATATTAGGTATACACTATACATAGGTAATAGCTTAGATGCCTTTAAGTATTTATAATGCACAAAAACTTATAAAAACTTTTATTTTAATATTATATTATATATATATATATATACTAATCTAACAGATAATAAATAAAACAAGTTATGAATTTAATTAATTTAATACATGAATAAGCTATTATTGTCGATAAACGTGTTTATATAGCGTTGGATAATTTAACATGGGTATAATGAAGTAATGAACCATAAATGGTTTCAAATCACATACAATTTTAAATATTTGCATCGATTTGTGAAATATGGGTTAAAATAAATAAAGGAGTTGAAGAACTCTGATGTAAAAACAATTTTCACAAAACTAACACTTAATTGCATTACGTATGTTGTATATCAATAATAAATTTTATAATATAGTAATATAACAGTAACTTTTTTTTTTTAAATATCTCCTGTCAGAATCATTATTTTGTACTCTAATCTGAACACAAATAATAACAAAACACTTTATAATATTAGGCTCTTGATGAAGAACGTGTATTGGCAGCTTTACCAGATAAACTAAAAGCTGAGATAGCTATACACGTACATCTTGACACATTAAAGAAGGTCGAGATATTTCAAGACTGCGAACCTGGCCTATTAGAAGAACTCGTGCTCAAGCTCAGACTCCAAGTGCGTACCACCATACATACAACCTGTAAATTGTTGTTTTGTTTACATAATTTGTATCGTTTATTATTCCTATAAAAATTAGGTGTTCAGCCCTGGAGACTACATATGCCGTAAAGGAGATGTGGGAAAAGAAATGTACATAGTAAAGAGAGGCATTCTTAGTGTCGTTGCCGACGACCAAAAAACCGAAATCGCCACTTTAAGCGCTGGAAGCGTTTTTGGAGAGGTCAGTAATAAAATAAATGGGTTTTTTTATGTGCCTACCTATAGATACTACATAGTAGAACTATTTAATCCATATTGATTTTCCTTATATTAGAACTTCAATTTTGATCTTCAACAATTTATTGCTCATAAAACATCTATGGTTTCAACATCTAGAGTTCGTTTTTAATTAAGACTTGAATACTTGTTAAATTAGAGAATTTCGCACTTAAAATTATAATTAGTTGTCAGCGGCTCACATACAGGCTATAAATTCTAGAAGGTAATCCAAATTATATATGTTAGGTCACTGGTATAAATTTGCATATATTATAATCATTAATTTTAAAATATTGACAAAATTATTTTAGTATCGGTATTATTTTTGACAACTTGAATTTTAAACAAATTAGGAATGTAAAATGTATATAACGTTTTGATAGTTTAATAAAAACAAAAATAATTAACATAACATTTAATCAATTGAGAAAAACCTCTCAAAAATGTGGTCAGTACTATATTTGAAAATATATTTGTAGGTAGCGTAATAATAATTTTCCTTACCGGTGGCACTCATCTTAAATCTGTTTGAAATTCACATTTCATATAGACGTACATTTAATAATTAGTTAATTTGATTTAATTTTCATAATATAAATTTTTTAAACCTAAACACATATTACATACCATTATTTGAAATTTTCTGTAATTATCATGCAAAATATTACATATCGTTGCAAATTTTAAACTTTCAATCAGATATTTTGGGCGAAAATAAGTTTATTCATTTTTATACAGTAAAAAATATTTTGTTTATGTTATTTTAATGATAAATAATCCTTCTAAAAACATGACACTACTGCTTCAATATCATTTAAAAAGCATAATTTATTATAGTATCGAATTTTATAGTTAATTTACTGTTCGCTTAAATTGAATTATACAACTATAGCCAATATTAACTAGGTTCCAAAGCAACAATATGTTTAGTGAATTCGGTACCTACCTGTGATTTATCAAGTACAGCTTTACACTATGCAAAATTTGTAAACACTTATACGTAGCGTATTTCTTGGAAAATAAACACGAAGAATGATTTATATATTATATACCTACATGTATTATGTATACGCGTTTGTGTTTGGATATGTATTTATGTATATATGTGCGTGTATATGACTGTAATTAAGAGAAACACAAATGGCACCAATTAAACATACCCCCTTTTTGAATGTCAGTATACCGTTTCACTTCAGAGTACATTTTAAATATGCAAAATAATAAATTAAGTTAGTAAAAAAAAAGAGGGTATCTTTTTTATGTTATTTTTGGTAATTTGGTGTATTTAAAAACAAAATCACTGCTTTTTTACCGTTAACATAGACATTACATTGCTATGCCACCACGGTGCTTATTACAATCATTGTTCGATGCGTTATATGATCAGTGATCATTAAAAAATACAATCATTCAATTCATATCATACTTATAGGTAGGGACATATTTTAAATGCATAAGAGTTCTACAATAAATTGTTATGACCAAGTGCAAGTGTAAATTATTATTTAATAAATTATTCAAATAGGTATAGGTACCTAGTAAAATGATAATTAATATTTTTAGATATTAATATAAAATATATGGAAATATAAAAAGAAACAAATACCAAGTAATGAAATATTATATGCAACTATTATTTTCAGTATTTAGCCATAAAGTAATAATATAATATAGTATCTAACAAAACCTGATAAATGTCCGATATTATGGTTACCAACAACATGGATCTTTTCGTGATTATCATCATGTCAAAATCAAATCAGCATCGTTACAAGGTTTTTATGGAGGCCACCGGTCATGAAATCTTCTACCATAGATTTTTTATTCTTCATTTTTCCATAAAACTATAATCTTACCCAGGGGATTTTCTTTGATTGTATACAACGCAGTTTTATTGACTGTAAAACACTAATTTATAGTTGTTTAAAACAAAAAAATAAAAATGTATTTTTATAATTTGCATTACCTTTTACACAGAAGTAAAAAAATTTCAATTTCTAAAATTGGTTATAACCATAAACTATACAACTGAAAATTGTTATACATGCCTAAGAGTAATAAAAAATGAATAACATGTAATATTTTAAACTCAAGATTAACGGAAAAAATTCAATTGTACTTATTCATTCACAGTGTATATTTATAAAATTATAAAACTATAGTTCAAACTCTTCATAAGCCTCAATAAATTAATATAAAATGTACCAATCAATGTGAGTGTTAATTATTTATTTGGAAATGTTATCTAAACATTTAAACATACATAGGTATATCATATATATCATATATGCCAATCAATGTAAATGTATGAATTAATAAAATTTAGGCCTAGTTCACATGAGAGCATTAAACGCGCGTTTGGCTAACGCGCGTTTAGAAAATTTACACAGGATGAATGACGACGCGAGTTAACGCCTTGCAACGCGTCGGAAAGCTGTAAACGCGCGTTAAAATACAGCTGCATTCATTATTGTAAACGCGCGTTTGGCTAACGCGCGTTTAACGCTCTTCATGTGAACCTTGCCTTAATTATAACTGTACCAATAAATATAGTATATAGTAGGTTTATATTATGTATCATTATAGTATATAGCTTAATATGAATTTAGGATCAATATAATAACAACAAGTTATTATTTGTCATTTTTGAAACAAATAATTTTTTTTCACTTAATTATATAATATAATATTACTAAGTTTCGTCTATTAGTTATGTTTTAAAATTATTTTTAAATAACATTTGATTGTATAAATATATTGCCTATATAAGTTTTATATAAAATTTCCTTGGACTTCAAAATGCTTTAAAATTAGATTATTAATATTTAGTTTAGAATATAGAAACTAACAAACTTTTAACTTGTATAGTATAACTATATAACAATACTCCAATAGTTAAGTATTTAGTAACTCTAAGAGGAATAAATAATGGCTTCTAATATAAGAAGATTATCAGAGCTTACAAGTATTATACAATAAGATTAAAACACCAATATATATTTAATAATGAATTATACTAAGTAAATACCGAAATATGTTTAATAATATTAAAGTATTTTCTTATTTTATTCAAATTTCAATCTTAATATATAACTTCTATTGGCTTTACTACAACTTAATTTATTTTAAAAATAATATTGATTCTATCTCAAATCAATATTATTTATTGTACCTATAACAAAACCATAAAGTAGAAAATCAAAATTGTACGATATCAAATTGCGTCGATGTTTAATGCTAAAACTTTTAGTTTACGTATTATAACATCACGTGAAAATTTTATTTTTGATTTTATGTCGAAAGTCAATTGATTACATTTTTTTTTTTCATTATTCCCTAGGTAAGCGTACTAGAAATAGCTGGAAACAAAACAGGCAATCGTCGCACAGCCAACGTCCGGAGTTTAGGGTACTCTGATCTATTTTGTCTGTCCAAAAGAGATCTCTGGGAAACACTAAGGGATTATCCTGAAGCTAGACACAGCCTAATGCAACGTGGTTGTCAGCTACTGCGAAAGGATAGACTATTAGATGAGGACGCGTTCCTGCAAGCTCAGACGCAAAATGAAACCATAAACGAAGCAGTGTCTAGATTAGGTATGTATACAATATTAATCAATTACAAATAGGTACAGTTTGACCATTCTATTACCAAATACGTTTTCATTATAAATTACAATGTTTGACATTTTACGCTCCACTAAGTAAAAATTATGATTAGTTATTAAAATTATTAAATTTAACAGTTTTTTTTTTTTTAACGCACTTCAATAAAGCTTTATTTCAACGACTAAAGTTTGTTTTGCACAAATTATTCTTCACAGAACAATGTTATCATAAAAAATGATTGCTTTAAAAGCAGAAAATAAACATTTGTCATCATTAATAAGGGACTAATCATTTATTTAATAATGTACGAATCGTGAAGTAATTCGCTTTCTTTGGTAATATCGTGTGTAAGCTATATTGCCTTCAACGATAATAACAATTTAATAAAGTGTCGTAGCAGACATAACACTGAAATTTTAAATGTCATGAGCACTTTAAATTATTTTATATTTTTGTAATATTAGACGTAACATATTATATTAGTATACAAAAAAAAATGTATACTATAAAGAATACATTCCTCGTAATAGTTTTCTCGAATTCAATACTATTTATTTGATTTCATTCAGAAATGTTAAAAAAACGTACAAATTTCTTTTGAATGTTTCCGAAGAATTTCTTATTCCAATATAAATACCAACTAATTCAATTAATCATATTGCTGCAATGATATAAATGTATAACTTTTGTCGTTGAAGAATAAATTTAAGTTAAATTCTTTAATCCTATATGGTTTAAATGTTGGAATATTAAAAATCTGTTATAAATTGTATTCACAATAAATATGTTATAACAATATATGCATATGTTATATAATTTCCACAAACATGAAAATTTAAACTATAAGTGAATATGTATCACATATATAAATATACTTAAGCAAATATTGTATCTTGTAGTTCTTGAGAATCGTGAAATTATTACATTTTAGTTCTAGAAAAGCTGAAATAGATGAAAAATAAATAATGGTGTTGAAAGATTAAATTCCCATCAAATGTCATCACATATGGTTGCATCTGATAAATGATGACAGTTCGTAAGATGAACAATAATGTAAGATTCTACAAAAAAAATGATTTATGACAGATATTCAATACTGATAATTTAATATAATTATAGTATCTCGAGCATTAATTTGAAATTGTAGTAAATATAGTAACCAAATAAACTTAAATGTATAGTAATAGTGTATATTTGGTTGAAAATGCGTAAAAACTTTTATTTATTTATATTATCTGTTTATATTGTGTTTGAAATATTATAAAATGTGACTGTTAAATTCACTAAAAATGATTATAGATACCCAAAGTTAAATGTATATTGTAAAACTTCATAATACTAAAGTAACAAGTACAACAGGCTCCTCTGGTAGGTTCTCTTCTAATCGATATAAATAGTGACTAGGTATACAATAAATTATGTAACACAATTTTAGTCCTAAGATAATAATATTGTAATAAATAGTATATTAATGTTGATATCCTAAAATGTATAATATGTGGTCGTTTCGAAGGTAAAATAACCCTATTTTATCACCATCCAAATTCGTTTGATTATTAATTCATATAGTTAATGTTTTACATACTAATAAACACTTTTAATAGATAGGTACTTCAATGGGGACCAAAAAGGATGTAGACCGAAGGACCCCTTATTAAATGTTCCAATATTATGTGTAAGCCTCAGTATAATTAATTTTTCCATATTATGAATATATTACAAATTACAATATTATAATATTATGTTTGAATTATTATGAATGTATTTTTTTTTATACTTTTTGTGATTGTTAATTTCAATATCCTTAAGTTAGTTTTAGAATTTAAAGTTCTCCAAGCTAACCTACATTTCTGGTGTTAATTTTTTTTTCATATAATTTTTACCTTTTTGAAATCGACAAAACTATATTATAGTATAATAATGGTGACCGTTCGTTCGCCTTAACCTTAATATTATACCAATATGTCGTAAACATTTATTTCGTCCGTTACAACTATACACTACTTATATATTATAATAATAGGTATGTATATAATATATAGACTGTAACCACCCGAACCGAGGAGTGGAAGGATACATTAGATTAGCCAACAGCCGGGACGAATTCGGACAGCCGACTCTGCGGCAGTCCAATCGCAAGCAGTCAAAGAACAAGTCAAAATTCTCGACGGTCGTTATCAAACCAAACCGGAAGCAATTCGCTCAAGTTTGTACGTCGCCAATGAGGGTGCGTGACGGACACTTGCTATTGTGCGCCCGTTAAGAGGACGTTAACCCGCATGCGTTGTCCCTATATTGTTACTGTCTTATATACGTATGTACGCACAACATTGCAGGTTTTACGTTCAGTACCATAGACCTTATTATATTTTAATTTTGAAGCAAGTTATGTGCTTTCTAAATTTCGTTAAATTTTTGTACAATTTAAAATGCTCATGACTTGGTTTACAATTAAAGTATTGAGAACGCTATACGTTTGGTCCTGCTTAGTATTCTTATCTTTAACTTTTATTATTGATCATTAAATTCATTCTAATATTATAAACAACAGTAGAGTTAAATCTTAAATGTATTATTCTGAATATGTAAAATTTGACGTGTTATGCGTTTGTAAGACAGAGACATAAATGCGGGTATATTTAACGTTATCTTAACAGTACGGTGATTTACGTCCCGCGAAGATTTACACACTACAACCTACAATCGATCTGCTACTTTTTGCGATGACCATGGTGGTCAATCCTCGCGGGACTCACCCTGTATATCGTAACGATAAATCTGGGGTGAAGGTTACTGCAGATGTTTTTGTTTTTGTTGTTGTTGTTGTTGTGGCGGTATTGTATTGCATACGTACGATATAATGGCCCGTTCAATTGTGTATAATATATATATTATATATTATAATATTAGATGATACATAAATTATCCTATATAATATAATATCTATATTATATATAGATGGTATTATATACAGGATTCACCAAGAATGCTCACCTCTATATTATGATTTAATCACATTTATTCAAATTATGATTTTCGGAATTTTCGTGTGTAGGTACTCAAAAATCTCATTTTTAAATATCTACTTAAATTTGTTGCCATAAGGTGAGTTCAGAATTGTAGTCAAGCAAGAGTGTCCTAAAATGAAATTCGTTAAACTTAAATATAAATACCTTACCTTATACATGTGGGTGTTTAAATTCAATATATTATGAATTTTTAAAAACAGAATAATTTTTAATTTATTGTTCATGATTTTGAATACATAACTATTCACAATTAAAAAATTAAGAATTTTGTTATATTATTTATTATGAAATTGTAGTAAAAACGTAGGTATTTTAAGTTTTTATTTCCCCCCACCCGCCCTTCAAACAGATACCACCAACAAATTTTACGCAATTTACGTCTATGACCAGATGATTTTTTTTTTGAAAATGTTGCAAACAAGTTGAGTTTATCTGAGTTGTTAAACTAATGTACTAATCATGATGACCTAGAGATAGCAGGCCATATCGTTATAAATAAATATTATACATTTATAATATACTGCTGATCCCGTTCACTTCGTTGCCCGTTAAAATTGCATTATATACATTTTTTTCTAATTTTATTTTACTGGACAGGTGGTGGAACCAATTTATTCCTAATTTAGCTCTCGATATTTAGTGGACAGAAATTGGGTTCATATAACCAGGAAGTAAAAAGGATTTTGAAACCCGAAAAAAAATTGAAACCGTTTTCAGACACTAACTGACACGTTTTTACTTCCTGCATAAAACTACGCTTTAAACCTGCTCCACGAAATACTTTATAATTTTAAAACTATCCCCTTGAGTATCGGACGAGTAGTTCTAGAAAACATGCGTGACAAAGATTTCCATTTCTTATTTACAGATATACAGATGAAGCATATTTAGTCCGCTATAGATATAATGTTCGGTAAATGTTTACAAGTAACAAAACGCCAATAGATTAACATTTAACATTGATTAATGATTACTTTTATATATTCAAATCATCATGGCCTCTATATCTTCTAAACCTTACCACACGAATTATAATATTCTCTCTACTATAGTAGTATATAATTATAGGTGTCTAAAGTTTAATAACTGTAATTAACTATATACACACTATTGGTTCGAGTATAAATTTAAATACATCAACATCTCAAAAAAATCAATTGATTCAACAATTTCCAATAAAAATATGCGGTTTTCATCTTAAAAAAAAAAAGTTTGAAAGTTTGAAATGATATTGACAAAATAGGGGTGAGCATGTTTGGCAAATCACCCTTATATATGCATATATATATATACTACACGCTGAGCAAATTTACCCGTTAACTCATTCCTTCACTGCAGCAACGGGTATATAGTCTCATCGTGAACTAAGGCGTAATCCGTAGAACAACATATATTATGGTTGAGGTGGAGACGGTGGTGGTGGATGGTGAAAGCGACGGATATATATTATTATATATAAATATAATATACACTATATAATATAGAGAGAGTTGACGCCCAGCTACTCAGACCACTCCGTATTTCGTTTCTGTAATGGATCCAAAAACAAACGAAGGCCAAAAAAAAACAAAGTATTCAAAAGACTACTTAAATTCACCCGTAACGACAACAGCAATAATAATAATAATAATGCACACACCAAAGTTCCGACGCTTCCTGTTCGCGCGCCATGACATCGCTGCAGCATGCTGTATCCGCTGCAAAGTTGGCATACCTTATATACCTATAAGTTATAACAATATAGTATTGTATTATTATATTATATTACATTATTGTATACATAATGTGGTTTGATAAATAAACACAATATAATTATAATATCTATAACATTTCAGCTGTTTGATAATAATATAACACGTGTCCCTAATTATATTTAACAAAATGTATGGCAATTAATAATATAATATACTAATAATAATTAATAAACGCATTCGACTAATATTAAAACATTTAATAGTTATAAGTCTACTAATATATGCCTATTAATATTATATATGTTGTACCTATACTAATAATATATTATTAACATAATATTGTTGTACTTATACTAATCGCATTCCATATCCATAATACAATATTATAATATGCTTATCATATACTTCGTGCACGATGATATAATATTCTGATTGTTTCAATATTCTTTTGTATTTTCAGATACCACAATGAAAGATGTAACTACTCGGTTGTCAAATCTCGTGACCGAATATTACAACCAAAATGTCAAGCTCAATGAAAAAATTACCGAATTGGAGGAACAAATACGAGTTGTCAAATATCATTCAATGTAAATATTTAAAAAAAATTAAATTCAAATATATAGGTATTATAAGGTTATTTATCTCAATCAACTAAATAGTACGAGAAACAAACGTAATTGTAGCTTGAAACTTCGAACATATACATTTTCAAAGCATCCGATCCACAAAACGTAATAGGAATATTGATAATTGAAAAACTTTTTGTTAAGGTATATTGAAAAACGTAACTTTTAAAGGGATAAAGTGTTTATATTCCTTTCAAAACCTTTTTCAAGAAATTTTAAAATTTTTATATGGAAACATTAACCTACACATTTACCTTCCAATGACCTGTAGCCTCGTATAAACCTACTCGTACTTTGAGTGTTTGTATAGAGTCTGATGGTCGTTTTTGTTTTTATAGATATTACAATAATATGCTAATTTTTTGAGAACGTTAAAACCTATAAAATTAGAGAGGTGTAGAGGAAATATTTATTAATTTATTATTTTCTTTTCTATATGGGAAAACAACAAATCTCTTATTATCCAATACAGTAATATACTATATTAAATATACATTATACCTAGGTAATAGGTTTATACTTTATATGTATACGTATTTGATTTTGTTTCGGGATACCTTGAAGCAATTTCCTGAAGTTATTTTATTTTATTTGAGTAAGCAATTTAATTTAATTGGAGTGTTAATAAAAATACGTTTTGATCGATAAAAATGTCGATCGATGTACAATGCTAAATCTTTTCAAACAACGCACAACAATTGCCTTCACGAAAATTCTCATAATGATAATTTATACAACTCCGTCGTATATTCGTATTCGGAAATTTGTTCAGAAATGAATAGCATTCTGCGATACGCCATTATCTATTGTAATATTTGTCCATTTTAGCGCCTCCTTTTGTCTAAATTATATTAGATAAACAATATATTATACGCTTAACGTCTCTGTCTCGCCCTACGAACATCAAATAAATAATGAGAAATGGTACAGTGGGCTGGTCTATGTCAAATGGGAAAAAAACGTATAATATAACGGGATTGTGGGGTTATTTACGTTCATTCGTCCCGCATACTCTTCCACTGCAAAAAGTTTTTTTAGCATTTTTGTATTTATGCATTTAAAGTACTCATTTTTAAAAAAATCTACCAAATGTCATTATTGTAAGTGAATGTTATTAAGCGGTAGATAGATTACCCTGCAGATCGGGACGTTTGTTTGCAGTTGCTCGGATGTTTTTAGTGGCAGAGGTGGAGTATAATTGCGGTATTACAGTTAAATACGATTCTGAGTCAAAATATTTGCATTCAATTTCATAAATTATTAATGGGTGTACTGTAATATTAATAAAATTATATGCACAAATTGGGTGGGTGAATTCAAGTTTCAAGGCAATGATAAATCGTTGCTGAGCTTCATTTGCCAAAAACTTGTTAAGATTTGGATTTCTTATATTCTTTCTCTGGATTTTGATGTTTTCGATGTTTTTATCAAAAACTTCTGACACATTTAAAAATGTCTTATGAAACCACACGCTGTTATATAATATTATAAAATACATTATGTTAGATCACATATGAACACGTTTCCTATTATTTTACAATTTTTGTTTTCAAATATTTTAGAACTTATAGTAATACATTTTATTTGTTTTATAATATATAATGCTTTTCAATCTACTTTTCTTCTGGACAGTAGAAGTACCTTAAAAGTTAAAAGTTACATATGACTTTTTGTTGATCAGAAACTGAACACTAGTAGTAGGTACTTTATGTTAGGTTGGTCACTTTTTACGTTGCGCAAATTCATATAATTATTTTTATAGTATCCACTTTAATGAATAACAGAATAAGAAATATTTTACTGGCCTTCGCGAATTAGGTACGTGATAATTTTATGTTCGTAAGATTTTATAAGCATTAATAAATTATATTCAAAATATGTTTTGTTAATAAACATGTAACATACCTACCAATCTCAAACAGCCAAGTATGTTGTATAGGTAACTTGACACTATTTGACGCGTTAAAATAAATATGATGATTGACATACTATTAATTTTATAATTATTTTTTTATGCAGTTAAAAAAAATATTTAATCTACTCTATTAAAAATCTTCTACAAAACATAGAAACAATTACTTATATTAATACCAATACAAATAAATAAATAAATAATAAATACAAATACTTACTTAAATTTACCACGTATATATATTTCAATATCAAGTGTACTTTTATGAATCTACTTAGACTGCAATATAATATAATAAACAACGTGCAAATAATGTTATTTTTGTTATAATAAATGTAAAAATTATTATTTTTATTAATCAATAAAATGCATATAATGGAATATTGTTATGTAAAAATATTACTTATAAGCTTTTATATAAAAATACTTTATTATAAGATCAATAGATTTCTGAGTTGATTAAATATACCTATAACTACACAAATCGCACATTTTCAATACTGGACCAACCTTTGTTTAAATATAGTAGATACTGTAGCTCATTCTGTTCAGAGTCTCTGTATTTTTTTTTATGCTTTTTTTTTTAATTTTCTTTAATAATAATATTAATATCCAAATATTTAATTTTTGAGTTTTTGAAAAGGATTTTAAATAATTTAACTGTTTTTTTGACTTCACTACAATTTAGGTTTACTCAAAAAAAAAAATGCAGGTTTTTACAATATAAAACAATTTAAATTAAATAATTGTCTAAGTTATATTATATTAATTTTTTTTGAGGGGTAGGGATTCGTCGCAAAGAACCCTTTTGGGGTCACCCATCCGGGAGCCTGCGACGTCGGACCGGCGCTTGGCTGCCGCACACTTTAGTGGCTGCGGCCAACCACCCCGTCACACTAGGTTATACTATTCGACAGTTTTTAACTGTGTAGGTTTAACAATTAAGTGTAAAATAAAACTAAATTGAAAACAAATTCACAAAAGTTGAACAGAATATTATTATACACTATAAGCAATAAGCATTAGACATTTAAAAATCATTATTTATTTTTAACATTGGATAGGTAGGAACATCGCGTATATTCTTATATACAGAACCAATACGTAATAATAAAATAATATTCTAAATACTAATCGATGTTGTTGTTTGTTTTTAGAACTGATTCAAAATACGAGGATCAACAGGGTTCGAATGTTGAAAATGACTCAACTTCGTCATCTAGCCAATCAACGGTATTCGGGACTTATGCCACAAGAAGATCGTTTAACGTTCCCAAGAATTCTTGGGCTCGAAGGCGTCGTAAACTTAAGTCTACCTGATGTTTAACGGACGGGCTATCTCATTTACAGGATCCATATGCCTCGGCTTAATATAAACCACGGTGATTAGTGTATATTCTTGATATTGGATAGTTAAAAAAAATCAACTGCCAATATTTAAGTGCATTGTATACATACGGTTTATATTAAATAATGGATCTATGTAGACAAATAATTGTGGGATAGTCTACTGAAATGTACATACGAAAATATATATAATATAATACATAAGACAAAAAAATTGTACGCCAGTCGACAGTCAACTTTCTATATACGATTTAAGTATAAATTACTTCTTTGTTAGGAGGAATCGAAATATTTTAAAACTTGTATCATGGAATTTTCATTAGCCAAGCAAGAGCTTAATGGTGATATCAAAAATACTGTAAGATATTCCTACAGAAAAATGTTGTCTTGTCTACATTGTTTGGTTTTTAAATAATTTAACTTATTTCATAGAATAATTTTACGTAAAAAAATAATCCAGTTAATATATTCCGATGATGTATCAAATATAAATTTTTAAAATACCAAAATAACCATAAAGTATGTGCATCACGTTCTTGTGTTCATTTGGTCTGTAAAAAGTAATGTAGGTACCTAATAAAATTAATATTTTAATTTTTATAAAACCCACTACGTTTAAAAATTAAATTAAACTAAAATTTAATGATTAGATATATTATTTTGTTACATGAGAATCTTACGATATTAAATTCTAATTTATATAGGTTTATTTTTGTTGAACATTCAATGTCCTAAACTTGGGTACAAACATGAAACAATTGCTAAACACAATTAGTTTAATGTTATATAATAGTAAATATCTACTACGGATCGTAATAGAATATAAACCCAATTTAATTTATCTTGTAACAAAATATATTCTCACAAACATTTTATTGTACATAGTACATACCAATAATATTATTAAAGTTATTTGAATTGAGTGATGTATTACTGTTGGGTCCCATGGACCCAAATTTACGCCTAATTGAGTCCAAAAAATATCATACAGTTGAATCCAAAATACATTTAAAAAAACATTTTCCTTCCTATTTACAGACTTGGGACTGTCAAAACGCAATGTCAAAAAAAAATTATAAAAAAATTGGACTCTATTAAGCGTATTATTGGACGGAATTCAGCCATAAATAGAATTCCAGATCTGTGGACTGAACTCTGTATAACTCCCGAATTGAGTGCCATTGCTTGGAGATTCTGTGTAGGTAGGTATACCGCGATGACCGTAGGTTTTCTTTTACATTCAAATCTTTTACCTGGAAATCAATAGAAAACATTGGGTAAGAAACACAAAATACGGAAACGGTGATAAAAAAGGTATCAAGATTGAAACATTTCCGAGAACTATTAATAAACAAAATGGTTCCATATAAATTAAATATTAAAATACTTTCATGTATTTCTTTTTTTTTTTTGATGGCAGTTGGACCAAATATTTTTTAACGATTCAGCGTTCAGTTGCAGTTTACGAAACACACACAACAGTTATGACACAATATATAACTACAATAAGTTATCTATGAAATTACAAGATCTAGTGAAAATCTTAAATTAATTAATTGTATAATAGGAACATAGGATCACTTTTCTTCGTATTAGTTTTAGATTTATTCATTCATTGTATGTTTACTTTTACTGTCTACTCGTCAGGCATCCATAAAATTCGTTATTTATTCTAAAGCGTTAAATTGTAATAGTTATAATTACCCTCAGCTTTGTTCGTATAAAATGTTCTATAATTAAATAATACGCAACATTGTATCCAACATTAATCAAATATTAATAGGTACCTCCTATATTATATTAAGCAAAACTGTTGACCAACAAAATTGTTTTACATTTTTCTAACAATATTGTTCAGTAGGTACCTAACCTACTTACATTGATTGTTGTAGAGTAAATTTTAACATGTATTTTATTATATTTTCAATAATTCCTAAAGTATTTATTTCAATACTAATTCATAATATTACGGCTATTTCGATTTTGATTTTGATTTTGCGTTGTGCACAGTACACTAATATCACCCACCAAGCATAGTTATTGAATTGTGTTATGGAAATGAAAAGCCGTGTAAATAGACACAATACTTTTCATAAACATTCGAAATAAGGTTAGCTTAACTAATTACAGTGAAATACTCGTAGGTACGATGTAAATGGTGTAATATATGATGATAATGTGATATTAATCCATCTCTGAACAATAATAATATCAACAACCAAATTATTATTTCTAACAACACAACGAGTATCCGAGGTACACACTAAACGACTATAATATTTATAACCTCGTACATTTTGGATTAGGTTTGTCATTCACTGTACAACAAAGGGTCATTCAATAATTTGAGATCGTTTTCTTTCACTATGAATATAGTACACTGTATCATTTATAAAATCAATGAATTAAGTTTAAACGTCGGTCTATAAATGACTCATTCTCGTAAATTACAACATGTAGTGACGTGCGATGCGGGTTAGGGTTACAACTGTCATCCCCCAAAATTTCAGGTGCCCTATACTATTTTTAGTTGAAAAACTGATTAACTTGAGGGGGTTTATTCGATCAATCTTTAGAAAGAAAAATATTAATTTAAAAACCCGTTCTGTCTTCAGAGATAAACAGAAAAATATTAAATATAAAACCCTGCATACGACGATACTGCTGAGTACAACTACGACAAAAATATGCAAAGCTCAAATAACAAAACTACAATCTAGTTAAAACTAGTTTGTAAAACATACGTTCATTGTTGATTTGTCAAATCTGTATATCTATATGTTATAAGTACCTATTATTTTTTTATGCTACACTGAACACGTGTAGTTTGTGTTAACAATATTATCTTTATTGTTATGTAGTCATTTGTAATTTGTATAACTATATAAGCGAATCCACTTAAATTTATATAAGTACAGTTATAAATGTTATAAATAATATTATATAGTTTTAAAAGAGTACTTACTGTTATTAAAGTTATTGATATTATTAACGTGTAGATACGAAATGGCGAAGAGTACGACAAAAATATACATAATATATATTTTCTTTTGTACATACATTGTTTGACGTTCGTTATATACTTATATAATATACAGCATAATATTGTGCTATGTATATTTTACATCAAATGAAACTACGAAATTATGTTTAAGTTTTTTACCATACAAAACTAGCTTTAGGAAAGATTGTATTATTAAAAGTAAAAACCCGTGCAGACAATATTGTATATTACACTTACATGGATTTAATAGGAAACACGTTTTAAGTTGTATTATTATTTATTATCATTATATGATATAATATATTATATATACTTTGTAATGCAATTTGCAATTTTGTACATGTGCACCGTAATTTTTACATAATATCATGTATACAGTATTTATATAAATATACGAGTAGGTAGCTGGTATGTACATAATATTATATATTATATATATAATATATTGTGTTTTAACGATGTTTAAATTTCGGCGACAACTGCACGGTAAAATGAACTTAATTTATATGATATATAATATAACGGTGTACAAATATATCAATTCACGTCTATAATTCATTTAGTATTATATCCGTAACATCTATAGGTATTAGTGACTACTGTATACCTACGAATAGTGTGTAATGTGTAGTTACAATATGCAACTTAGACTAAAGTCAGGTTATAACACGTTTATAATAATATAGGGTAAATGAATAACATAAAACATAATCTTACATTTAGGAAAATATGAAATAAACCACGTTATGAGCATTTTTTATTTATAAATGAGGATGATATTATTGTAGTCACATAATATACAACTTGTCAAGGTGACTGTACTAATGATTTTTTTCTATATCTATACCTAATGTATACAATATTTGTAGGTACATAGTAAATGGTTATATATACTAAATTCCTACATATAATTTATTATAATACTAATATACAATACACAAATAGCCATTAGAATTTAGAACATAATGTAGAGATTAAAAATCACACTTAACTATCTAATAAGGACAATGCTGTACTCGAAATACATTTTAGGAGAGAAGAGGGAGGGGGTTAGGTTATTAGTTTTCGAGTTGTAGAACTATTCTTCTTGAATGAAAACTGTTTAACCAAAATTTAAAAAAAAATTTTCTATCAAAATATAAAATAACGCCCTTAATCTATGACACAGTATAATATGCTTATACAGTCATACACTAGTTGATGTAAATAATTATAAATATATCCTGAAAAAATGGTATTAAAAACTGTCTGTAGTAAACCATTATAGTCGTATAATACTAGCTGTGTATAGGAACAGTTAATAGGCTGCCTGTACGCGTATATAATTTCTTGGAGATGGCAAATTGTTTAATACAATCAAAATTATAATAATATACTGTCTCAGTCAGGGTCTTAAATATTTTTCCAGTAAACTATCGGGAAATTTAAAACTTTCAAGCTGAAAAGTTAGGCTGGCGTAAAAAATAAAAAAAAACGACGACGAACTTCGCTGATTATAATTAAATCAACTTACCAATATAATAAGTGGAGACTGAAGCTAAATATGTACATTAAAATCGAGCTAATACGTAGGTATATTAGATGAGGCAGGTTGCAGGTATACGGTTTAACATTATTTATAATTTTATAAATAATGTATTCCCACACATAAGTCGTATAGATATTATAGTTAGGTAGGTAGGTACTTCATTGTAATTGATATATTAGGTGCCTATGTTAGAAATACTGTTCAATGGGCCCCTATTCTTAATACATTATACAATATTTATATATATAATATTTATTTGTTTTTAACTAATTTCATTGTGTGAAAAATAATAATATACATTATACGTACCTAATGGTCAAAAGTTTCAGTCCCAATTAAAATATTTATTTGAATTGCCCAACAACAAAACTAAAAACTTTATTTTCGTTTAAATTTTTAATATCCAAATTCCTCAAAGTCAGATTTCTATATAAAATAGAT